TCCATTTCAGTGCGGAATTCGTTCTACTGTCTGAATGTTTGTCCGTCCGTCTGTCTGCCTGTTAGCTGGTTTGAGTGCTGTCTACAGCGTCTGACATGTTTTAAGCATAAGTGCAACGCATTTAGCTGTCAGAGCTGTGCGTCGACATTGGCGTTCCTCTCGGGTCTTCGCTCAACTCGGCTATTGGTCTTGCCTGACTGCCCTGAGGGCCCCGGACCCAGGCGGCGCACTGGACCAAACCAGGCCTGTAGCAGACGCATTTCTGATAGTGCGCTGCAAATTGAAAACGAGTAAAAAAGAACTTAAAGTGCAGCAGAAATGCTGAAAGACATTGTTCAGAACGTCATGCGCCTCAGCTCCGATCTCCTCATCCTTGTCGCATGTGCATTAATAACGCTAGCATCCATTAAACGGCTCAGTTCCTGTGCCCCTTAGGCCCCACCCCGGAGCCTCATGGCAACAGACGTTGGTAATGCGGCCCAGCTGGCCATAAAATTAACGCACAATATTAATACACACACTCACACACACATGCACACATTATTTTGTTGCAATAAAATTATTATTAAAGCCAACCAACTGGCAAATGTGTGAGAGGAGAAAGCACTGGGAAAATGAGCGAAAACCCATTGCAAATACTTCTGCAAATATATTGTTGCTTATTGCAGATTCCCCAGTTTAATGCCTCGCGGGTATATATACATATATATATTATATATTGATGTATATTGATGATATATACATATATATATATATATATATATATATATATATATATTCCATTGACAGCTGCTGTGGCAGTCGCAGTTGTTTATCAGCTCCCATCTATTATTTCGATGCAAAGAATTCGCCTTTTTTATTCATTTGACAATTCATTTAAATAGTCAGAGAAAAGGAATTAACTGTTGCACTGTGAAATTAAAATTTGTAATGAACGATTTATACTTTAGTGTCTATGTTAGCTAGGCTAAAGCGTTTGTAACACGCGAGAAAATGGGTTAATTATAATGAACATATTTTTCTTCTATATTACCAATTTTATTCAGAAGCAGTCATCAGAGGTTTAATCTATCCATTGAATACTTGTAGGCTTATTGCATCTATATATAATTATTTTTAAACAATTTAAATAAAGGAGTGGTCCATAATAATATAATAATACAAAATAATATGTATCTGAAAAATATTCTATTTTGTACACTTTTATATTGCAATTTGCAAAATATATGTATTGATAAATACAAATTTAGTAGAGCTGTCTAAGCGATAGATGGCACAATCCATTGTATCTATTTACATTATTGCAAAAGATCGATGTGGACTCCTGTCCATATATCATGTATTCTGTATTGTATAACAGAACAAGTAGAATCCTACAAAACAAGGGGTTTTATGAACTTTTAATGGGTGTCATTATCGAGAGGGTAAATACAATAAAATATTTAGCTTTTTACGGAATAAATCGCATATGAATTAACATTTGAATGGGTAGTTATTTATTATAAATTAATAGACCTTTAAAAATGTTTGCCTACGAAGAAACTTACATAAAAAGATAATATGCAACGTAAATAAAGATAGATATATATGGTTTATATGGTCATATAAAGGTATATACATTATACAGTAAGAATCTCTAGAAGTTTCTGTGTTGAATGGGGGTTTTCATGACAAACAATAAATTCATGAAATTGCAGCGCATCGCATTCTCGCATAATACCATACTCACACATACAAACACACACACATGCACACACACGAACACACTTTTTGCACATTTTTCTTTTTCTGGGATTTATTCACTATAATTATGAACGATTTTGCGCACATATGGCATTGGCAATGGCCATTTCATATCCATTCGTGCAACATCCGGCGGGCGGCACATAATTATAAAGTGCACTTGCAACATTTATTGCCAGTCATAAATCAAAAAGTTATCGAAATGGAAGCCAGAGTAGAGATAATCGCCGCGCGAGTCGGGGGCGACACTTTTTACAACTTATTGGACTAATCAGTATCAGTATACATACATATATACATGTCTGAATGTGTATGCATGTCATGTATGGCCGGGAGGGGTGATACAATCTGATAAGAGGGGGGTTACACATAAAGTAGCCCGCGACACGCGACACGCGACTTGTGCCGCATAGGAAACATTTCCGAGCGCATAAACAATGCTGCGCTACATGGCAACCCCCAAATACACGAGAGGAAGAGAAGCAGCAGGAGCAGCAGCAGCTGGAACAGCAGCCACTGCGGTGGCAAGCCGGACCACGACTACGTCCGACGTTTGACAGCTTAGCGCCTCGCGAAGAGCATTCCGGATGGGGGAAGCCGGACGAGTTGCTCGTCCAGTGTAGCACGAGAAAATTGCATGCCTCAGTGGCAGTTGCAATTTGCAATTGAGTTCTTTGGCTGGCTCTATGCGCTCCATGCTCTCCAGAGCGGGGATTACCCAATAGAGAGTGCTGGGTGCTAGGCCACGGCACACTGGGCTAGGCCCGCAACGAGCAGCAGGATGCGGCGGGCGGCCGTCGAGTGGGGCGGCAGCAGTCAAATTTATGGCCAAGTGGAAGCGAGTCATGTGTCGCTTTGCATAAATTGCTCGACTTCTGTTTGGTTAGAATTAATGAGTGTGGGCGGGCCATAGGCGGGCGGGCCAAATAGAGTGACTATAAAGTGAGACTATAAAGGAAGTGCCGCAAAGCGACGCATTTAAGCGAGTCTGAGTCGTAGAGAGAGAAAGAGAGAGAGAGAGAGAGAACAACGAGATAAACAGAGAGAGGCAGAGGGTACGGAGATTATCGCCTAGGCACATAAACTCCACTCTTTATGTGATTCATTCTCCTTGTCAAGCCATTGTAATAATCTTAATTAGAAAATCTCAAGGCCTGAACAACATTTGCAATTGCTAAGTGGTTGATAAATATTAAATAAATGTTTTTCATTTTCATTTTCATGTATATTTTCTTATCTTCTTAGGAAATAGTTCATAAATGTTATATAAATGTTTTCCATTTATATTTTATTAAATATTCTCATATTATAAATAATATTTATATAGTTTTATTTTCCATTTTATACAGATAATACTTAAAATCAATCAAGTGACTTAACTACTTGAGAGTTCTTAGTCGCTTTGCGCAAAAATCTTCTTTGTTGTTGATTTGCCTCAATTCTTAACTCTTTTTAATTAGTCTCTCAGAATTTATTCTCTTGCATCTGGATTGTATTACATTTACAATTTCTGGGTTCCTGTCTTTTGGCTGATCCTCCGCCTGGCTTCTTATATTCAAACTTCTTGGATTGAGTCCGCAAATGCATTATAAACTCTCTTTTGAGCAGAGCTTAATCGCATTTACATTTCATGCCGAATTTTCACATTTTATTTCAATAATTTTCTCAATTGTTTTCTCATTCTTTCTCCTTTTAAATTCCCTTTTATATTTTCTGTCATTCTCCATCTCTTACCCCCATTAGCCCTGAGCCGGTAGCCGCCCTCATGGCACCGTCCCTTGACCATGTTTGACTGCCTGCATTACAAATATGAAGAGCTCTGCAGTTGACACTTCGCTCTGGCTGCCCAGGTTTATTGAGCGACCATAAGTAGACCTCAGTGGATGCCAGAGGCCTGGCTCCGGTCTGCCTCAGTTCCGGCTCAGTTGTCGGGCAATTTTTGTTGTTTGGTGCCGAGCGCATTTCAATTTACAAATGACTCAAAATGCCTGTGGCAAGCGCATGAGGGCGAGCACACAGTGCGTTGTCAGGGCAACAATTTTTAATTCAATTCCATTAAAAGTCGCAAAAGATGCTGCGCACAGCTGTGCGAAAAGTATTTCTCTTGCTATTCTCGCTGTCTCCCACATTCTCCAGCGGAAAACTAATGAAGCGAGCAGTGCCAACGCGAGGATTGATTGCTCCCCGGAGGCGCCGATGGCAGTAGCTGCCACTTGACGCAAAGAAAACAGTAAAATTGATGCAATCACCAGGGCCAAAAGCCAAACTCAACCCCTGATAAATCCTAAATGGGCAACCTCCCTGCTGGCTGGCTGCACTGCTCAGCCTCGACTGCACTTTCATGGGTGTTTGATAATTTCCACTCTGTAGGATTTCCCGAGCAGGACGAACAGGAGGCACTTCCCCGCAGGGAGCAGCTGCATAATAAGACTTGTTAAGTTGCCCGCTCGTTAAGATAAGTGAGCCGGCAAATGGCGACAAGTGCGAACCCGAAACATGCCACAATGATTACCAGCTTTGGATGTGCGAGTATGGGGTGTGCGAATGTGATTGCCGAGGAACAAACCCTCGGGGCAGGTCTCACACATAATGTATTCTCGCAGAAGTCTCAGATAAGCTGTACTTTGAATATCTAATCGAAATAAATGTGGCAGTTGCAGCGTTTAGATGTAGTAAAAACGATTGTCAGACATTCAGGAAATATTTTTTGTCATAAAAAAAAGTTGAAGAATAAAGCACAGTTAACGATCGAGGTGTGTTTTGTAAGCTATAATATATGATACATAATAAGAAATTTAAATTAACTTAATAAATCTCAATTTGTCTGTATTATAAATTCATTTGTAGAATTCGGATATCCACGGCTGCTGGCAATAATTCTATCTATACTCTTTGGTATAAGTATTTCTAGATTTCTTTGATTTCGAAGATGTTAGGATTATCTAAAAACAAAAGTGTATAATTCTTATTGAAATGTTGATACTTTTCAAGTTGTTCCAGAGAATACTTTAACAGAGAAATCAATTTGGGCTATCGAAAGTTATTTAATTGATCTCCATAATAATCATAATAATAATATAAATCATATAAATATGTCAGCAAGAAAAGTCTGAATAATATACTTATTTATTTAATATTATTATCATTATTTTATAATATTTTATTTACTATAACAATAATATACATATGTAATTAATATATATTATAATCATTTAAATTATGTTTAGCTTAGTCTAGAATATTTTCAGATATCTCACCTCAATATAACCCTGGACGCTGTCGCACTGCTGGAGCACCAGAATGCTCGGATTGGCCTTCAACTCGTCCGGGGAGCAAGGCGACAGGAATCCGCTGTCGGCGTCGCTGTGCGTGGAGAGCGGGCGGGGTTTACGTATCTTGTACTGGACGTGGCGGCTGGGCACGGGCCCCGGATTGAAGAGCACGTAGTTGGACTCGATGGGCACCGTGTGGGCGCGCTGATCCTTGCGCTGCTGCTGCAACAGCTGCTGCAGATGCAGCATGTGATCGGTGGTAACCAGCTCCGAGATGGCGCGCTGTTCCACTGCGGATTTCTGATTGGCTTTCTTGGCTGCAGGACGAAAGGGCGACAGATTCAGAAAGGTGAGCTTCTTCTTCATTGACTGCTGCTGCTGGGTCGCACTGGAGCAGCTGCTGGAGCTGGCCGAGTTGGTGGATGTGGAGGACTCGACAAGTGCCGTTGAGGTGGTTTCCGTGTCCTTCGACTCCTGGCTATTGGACATGCTGGGCGCCGACTCGCACTCGTTCAGCTGCTGCTGCTGCTGCTGCTGCCGCTCCAGCTTGGCATGCACGAGCTGCTCATTGCTGAATGGATTGGGTATGCCAATGTCCAGTGGGGCCGGCTCCATTTCAAAGTCCTCCGGATCGATGACAAAGTAATTGTGATGCTCAAAGCTGGGCAAGGCACGGGCGCTGCCTTCCGTCTCGGCCTCTGCCTCGCAGGACGTCTCGATGATAATCGTCTCCTCGAGCTCATCGCCATCGTAGATGACCTCGGGCACCAGCTCCTCGTCCTCACACACCAGGTGCTGCCGCGAGCTGAACAGCGGATCACGCAGTCCATGCTGCGCATTGCCAGGATAGCGCAGCGCCTTCTCATTGATGAAGTCCACCGGATCGAACAGGCAGTAGTTGTCCATGTGCGAGGTCGCTGCCTTGCGCTGTCGCACCGGCAGGTTCTTCAGCTTCTCCGTATAGTCAGCCGCGTCATCCTCGTTGTTGTTGGCCAGCTCCGGGGCCGGCGGCGGCGGGGACAGCTCCTGACTGAGCTGCATGTCCTGGCTGGCAGGCGTCGCCTGCAACGACTTCTGCGAGCCGCGATGCAGCGTGGCAAACAGGCCGCGCGCTATGCAATTCTTCAGCTCTGTGACACGCCCCTTGTAGGGGCTTGACTGCGCCGAGCTGCTTACGGCGAGCTCCTCGAGCCCGAGCTGTTTGCTCAGCTCCTTGCGCTCCTTTTTGCTAAGCACCACTTTGCCCCGACTCGGCGTGTTCGGCGCCGAGTGCAGCAGCCGCGACTCCCTCGACGGGATTTGCGAGAGCGGCGGCGGTGTGGGCGGAGCAGCGGGCTGCCGATATTCGCCCCGCCCCACCGCCGGCACCACCGTACTGGTGGCATAGCTAACGGGCAGCTCGCTGCAGCTGTGCGCCACTTGGCTGAATTCCAGCTCCATGTAGTTGGCAGTCCTCGAGTGCAGCGTTTTCTGTGCCTTGGGTCGGGCGCCAAGCTGCAGCTGCTGCAGCTGCTGCTTCTGATGCTGCTGCTCCTCCTCCTCCTCGTTGGCATTGCGATCGGAACGTCTCGACATGTTTGCTGCCACTCATAATGGGCGGGCACTCGCCCACATTGTTCACTTTTTCGCTACTCGATTTTGTTTTGTTTTCTTCCTTTTACACTTTTTAATTTGATTTTTTGTTGCACTGTTCATAAAATTAATGGTTTCATAAATCTTCAGCTGGGCTCGACTCGGTCAAAAAATATCTACACAGGCGTTAATGGGATTTAGCTGGCAGTTTGAGTATTTTTTTTTAGCTTGGGCCCAGTTAAGAGCAAAAAATAAAAAAATAAAAAAGGGCGCACGCTTTGTACATTTGTTTAGTAATTGGATTTTTGAGCTGATGCATGTCAAAGTTAAATTAAAACTGACGACTGGACTGCTCTGCCAGCCAAACAAGAGTTTTCTATTTGTTTTCTGCCCAGCTCCGCCGGAAATGTTGTTGCTGTTGCTGGGCAGCCCCGAGGCAAAGTCATGGTCATGAACGGAAGGCGGGGGCGTGGTTTTGTCTGTTTTTGAGTGATGCATACAAACGGCTGCCGCAGCCACTCGAGCGCTATATAATTTGTCTACAAAAGCAATTAACAGCGAAAGGAACTGCCCAAGGAAGCGAGGCGAGCGGAGCAAACCCAAGAGCAGGACATCCGCAAAAAGGAATATGACTATATCATTGTATGAATATGAATATGATCAGAGTATTTTAGCCTCTCTAAAGTGCGATAAGGCAATATCTATAAGAAGAGACAAGTGAATGCATAATATTTGCCTAATTTAACTCTAATCAAATTATAGACAAGAATAAGCTTAGATAATATAGTTATAAAAACTGAAAGCTTTACCCAGAAATGAATTCATACCACAAGTAAAACAAGTACGAAAATATAATAAATAAAGGTATTTAAATAAACATTTGATGTGAGCTACGCGAATTAGGACGTGTTTAACATTTTTAGATGAATGAATGAATGAAAAAATGTAAATTTAAATTTACAAAATAGGTAAATACTAAATTTTAATATTTAAATAATACTTTTATTTTTTTTATTTTATTAGATCTTCCCAAAGCATTTAGTAATCCCTAGAGATTAATCAACAAATGTGAGAACAAATATAACAGATAAACAAAAAGTAATAAATAAAACTCAAATTATCATGCCATAACTAAAATCTCTTATGTAATATTTAGTGCATTTCAAATGTCAAACACGCATAAATTTTAGATTTTATCTCATCTGTGAAAATTTATTGAAAAGAAAAACATTTCCCTGAATTAAACTGAAAATGTTAACTGCAAGAAAAACCACAAAGCCAAAAAACTTACTTAAAAGCTGTGGCTAGAAAAGCAAAAATAATTTGAATTGCAGAAATTGAAGGGAGTCCGATGCGAATGCAAATGCAAATGCAAAAGAGGAACAATTTAAAGGCGTGTCAAGAGTTGCATATTTAATGCGCAATGCAGCAGGGAAATGCTGAAGGAATTGACAAGACAGCTAATGTGAGTCAGTCAAGCTTCTCTTTCAAATTTGTGAGCTCAGTTCAGAGCTTATCAGGCTTGAATGTATCCTGCTGCTTTAATGATCCACAACATATCTGACGAAGAATTTTCACTCAAAGCCGCAACACCTTGTGGCATGCAATGTATTCCATCCATTTCCTTGTCTCTCTCCCACACTCCCTCTCTAGTTTCGTCTCCCTATACACAAAAAGTACAAACTGCATTTAGATGCCAAGCAAATGGAAAAACTTTCATTGCCATTAACAACAACTACAAATTGAAGCCTGCCTCGGTTGGAAGAGTCAGTGAGCCAACAAGTTGCATAATTGCTAGCGCCTGATCAAATTAAATGGCCTGCAAAAGCGTCTGGGTTCAGTGGAAAATGGCCACGAAAATGGCGAGGTCAGTGAAGAAGTCAAAGCGAAACATTGCAAGGGACTTTTACGTAGTTAAAAGAAGAGATAAAGTGAAGAAAGTAAATATATAAATAAGCAAACTTTAATTGAAACAGAGCTGAAATATCTCCAGTTGACCAAGTACCCCCTTTAGTCTAAAATGTAGGGTATTAAAGAGACCGGCCAACTTGCTAAATTGCAAGCTTCCAGTGACTAACAAGCAGTTAGACGGGTTAACACGTTTAGTGTCGTTTCACCTATTAACTCTGACGATTTCAATGGCAGCCCTCGCAAAAACTATTTTCCCTTAATGCATCAAAAGTGTGCCATAAAGTATAAAAGTAGTTTGCAATTTAAATGTAAATTTTTAATTGAATTGCAAAGCAGCGAATTGAGGCAAGGCCCAGGGAATGGGAGCAGGGGCAGGGAACGGTACTGGGGCTGGGGCAGCGGAGTACTAACTGCTGCTACCTGCTGCTGTAAGTGGGCCAAGAATTTGTTTATTAAGCTAATTAGAAGTTGGCGCCCATTTGCCAGGAGCAGCTGCTGCTCCAGCTGTGGCCGGCCAACTGGCGTACTCAACCAATGGCCGACACTTTAAACACCCTATTCCCTGGCCGGGCTGCCATCCGCAGCACTTGGGCAGCTGCTGGCAAAGTTGACAAAATACTTGTCAAGATCTGTCCAGTTGCTTTAGCTGTAGTTGTTGTTGTTGTTGTAATTGCTGCGCTTCAAGTTTTGAAAGCCGCAACTCGACTGCGGTTTTTGTGAGTTCTTGCAGAAAAATCACAGACCACGACCAAGCCCCTCCCACAACTCTCCCACTCTGTTCCTCTAAGTAACTCCTGTTACGCCCCCTCTGCTCAGCTGGCCATCAAGCGGCAAACTTTACGAGTTGATAGCTGAAATAAAGTGGAGCATGCATTTGCAGTGCTCTCCACTCACTCGCCCTCCCTCTCACACCCGGCAACAATAATAAGGACTTTAGCGAGCGGCTCCAGCACACCCTCGCCCGCCTCCCCTCCCATTATTGCTGCCACTTCATGACATCATTTTATTTGCACTCAATCTCAGTCGTTGCGCCGCCTGCGCAAACTTTGCCACAAAGTTGGTTAGAAATGCTTTTGATTCGGCGTTAGTTATTCACTCTCTCTCCCCTCTGTATCTGTCTCTTTCACTTGCAGCTCTATTATTTCTTTCTTTCTACTTTCTGTTAGCTTTCTTTTCAGCACTCAAATGCCGCTGCGAAATGGTCGTCGAGAAGCGAGAGTTACGAGAGCTATGAAAATCATTGAAATACCCTGAATGACTCAATAACAGATTGAAGATGCTGACTGGAGCAATGATTGAATTATTATTGCTTCATGCTTGATATTGCTTAACTTTCAACATTAATTGTTTATAATTTTTATTCGAATTTTCTATTCAAATCAAACTTATCTGTTTAGCTTTTTTATTTAGCAATCCCATATTTATAATTATATACTTAAACATTATTTTAGGCAGAGATTCGCTCGTCAAACTGATTCGCTGATTGAGATGCGATGTTTCCTAGAATTTGTTATATTTATTTTATTTTTATTTGATCAATAATTATAGTACCTAACTTTAAGGCTATAGATATTTAACTATAGAGACGAGATTCAGATAGAATCACATTAGGAAAAGAAGAGTAGTATTCAATTCAGCTCGAAAGGCTCGACAAATAATAAGATAAAATTGAAATAAAACCTTTTTCAATATATTTACTATTGTTAGTATTATTTTTGCATTTAAATATTAATACTCATATTTTTTATTTATAAACTGATTTTTTATGCAAATTAATATTTCATTAGTATCTAGCCTTTTAGATATATACTTCATGGTATATAATATGTTTACACATATTTTATAACCTTAAGCTACAATCAAATGACTCAATCTGTGGTCTAACGTCTAATGCATTTGATATATGTATGTTTGTATAATATTTTATTTTGTTTAGTTAGCATATGACTTGAAAACTCTACATTAAAAAAACTCAATTTATTACATTACTACACACTGCAACAATATTATGAGTTGAGCATACATTTATTTTTACTCCCTCAACGTAACCCCAATCCTCGAATTCAGATTAGGCCAAACCTGAGCATAGCTCATAAAAGAGCCAACGTACCCACTTCCCTTTCAGTGTAGAGTATAATAAAGTGGCAAAGTCTGTTGTTGTACGCGCCGAAATGTGGCAAAAGTGAGTGGAGCCGAGAGAGAGAGAGAGAGATATGTATATATAAATTGTGTGCAACTGAGAGAGGTAGACACATTGAGTGCGAGAAGGAACTACGTGCGTATGACAGTTTGAAACACTTCTAAAGACTTTTGAGCTATGCCGCGAGAGGCGTCAAAATGTGGCATGTACGAAAAACTTTCGGGGTCTACTATTCTATTTTTTAGTATTTACAAAGCTGGGAAAGGGATGTAAAAATTTGTCTGGGAGCGGAAAAGCGAGCAATCCTAAAACAAAAAATCTATGTGCAATTCAATTAAAGCTCAATTTGCAAGCAGGCGTCGTATTTTTGTTAGTTAACGACCAAATCCGGGCAGACAATATTTGTGGGTGCGAGGGCGTGTGGGGAGTGTGTGTGTGTAGCCACCCCCTGGGGAGGAAACGCAAGGACGGGGCTGGCTGCTGCTCGCATTTAATAAGACTCATCAGTGCAAACGGAAATCGCTTGAGGAAATTGTATGTTTTAAGCAAAAGGAAAAGCATACATAATAAACTCATATAAAAGATTGTTGCATGCTGCGAAAGGTGGAGCGAAAGCAGGAGGAGGCAGGGGCGGGAGGAAGGGGGCGAGCTATGGGACAGGACAAGCTTGCAGCCCGACACATTCGCGGTGAGGGGGAGATGAAAAAATAGCCCCAGGCGGACAAGACGCAGAAAGCGAATATTATTAAAAAGAAAGCAAAACGAAAAGGCAATGGAAAAAAAGAATGAAGAAGCAACCAGAGTCATAAAATTTATTAAATGCCCAAAAGTATGACAGCTATAGACAATTTATGGGCGGGGCAGGCGGAGGCTCTCTCGAAAATAAAAAACATAGGCAAAGGAAATATGGAAATTAGTTTGCCAAGGATGCGCGTCGCAATAAGGTGAAAAATCCTGGACTGGATAGAACTACAGTTGGAATATAATCAAAATCTGAGTTTCCCTATCAGAATAAGTATATTTATGCAGAGTAAATAAATGCTGAGCTTTAAATAAATTAAACTTTAAAGACGAATTCGTTTACAAGTAAACATTAAATATTCATTGAAAATATTTGAAAGTCTAACGACTTAAAATAGAGAAGTGAGAAAATAGAGTAAGCATTTGGCAAATAATCAGAATTGTTATATTAGATTAGAATGGACTCAGCTAAATTATATTTATATTCCCAGCAATCTCTTCATTGCCCATTTGCACTTCATTATCACCAAAAAAAACTTAACAAAATAAAAAGCCTTATATGCAAGTACCTCCTCGACCATAATAATAACAGCAACAATAATTAAAGCAGCTCAACACGCGCAACACTTGTTTCTTCATTAGTGAAATGGCTTTTGCTCCCAAGTCCACAAACTCTCAAAAAAAACCTTTGCATATTTATAGGCGCTGCGCATAAAATTTACACTAATTTAAAAGACAATTCCCCTGTTCTGCTGGACAGTGTGCCTAAGCCCAAGCAAAAGGCAATTTTCTACTCATTGTCAGGCGATTCGCTACATAATTCCTGAGTAGGATGTGGAGTGTAGGGCGTAGCCGGTAGCTGGTAGGGAGACAGCGGCCATATGGTCACGTGTTGAGCTCATAACTCAGCGCAATCTCATGGACTGTTAAATAGAACGCGAAGGGACATTTGTAAGGATTTGCCAGGTGAAGCTGGCGAAAGCTCGCGCATCTGCTCCATGCCATGAAACTGGCAACTTTTTTAATTAAACAATCGCTATTTAAACTTATTAAACACCCTCTAATCCAGACGAAAGAAATGGCGCATAATCAATCCCCAGACGAGGGAAAACAATACAATTTTCCACGAAACATTCTCTTGCGCAATTTTCCACTACATCGGATTAAAATGTGATATGTTTGGGCTTGTTTACACGAGGAGGGCACACAAAGTGAGAGAGAGAGAGAGAGGGAGAGACAAAGTGATAGCGAGAGAGGGAAAGGAGCAGGAGCAGGAGGAGCAGAACATGTGTGGGGGTTAGACATGTGTTTGTTTACGAACTTGGCAGCTTTGTTTGGTACGCTGCTGGAGTGGGTCTTAATTTCCGCTTCGTAAGCATTTCTTCACTCTCTTCCTCTTCTTATTCTCTTTATTTTTTTCGCACAGCCTCTCCCTTTACTCGGGAAGCTCCCGTTTGTTTATTTTGGATTTGTTTGTCTTTTTTCGCTTACAGCATTTTTTTTCCTTTTTTTTTTTCTTTTTTTGGGTTCTTTTGCTCGAGTACTTCCGGTTGCGCCGGATGCGAAGACACAACAAAAGACACACGCATGCAGCATGCGAAAAGCCGAGGCTTTAATTGTTGCGAGTGGCAAATTGAATTGCCAGAGAAACATTTCACAATTGATTTACACTCGAAGGAATTTGCCAAACATATTGCCAGGACTTTAAGGTTGCTTCTTCCACTGTTCCTTAACATTTTTGACACGTTGCACCCAGAGTTTCCTGCTCGCCTAAAATTAGGCAGCACGTTCTGCGCCTCGGCTTGAGCTGTGCTTCTCCGCATAATAAGTATTCGACAGGGAAAGCCCCTCCACACCGTCACAACATGAATTTCGAATGAGGGCGCTAGTCAAGGCGTCTTCTGGGTCATATTGTGGGCGTGCACGGTAATTAATATTATACATATGTATCTTGTTCACGCCCTGTGGGAGATCCGATTATGAGCGTAGGAATATAGGAGTGAATATACATTTCAAGGAATAAACAAAATGCAGTCAAGTTTCAGATGTGTTAAAGGCAGGAGGGTAGTTCATGAATTTTGAGTTCTTTTAGTAACTTTGGTTAATTTAAAAACAAAATTTTACACGAGGGTTTTTGGTGTCCATGGCTCACCTCCACTGAAACTCTTTTTTATTGACCGCATAGAAAACAAAATATTTTATAAAATAACATATAATTTTATTATTGTTATTATTTTTGTTTCTAAGAGAATGGTTTCTAAAACCTAAAAGTTATTCATAAACTCATATCCCACAGAATACGTACACATTAAGGAAATAAATAAATATAAAATAAAATAAAAAGCTAATTGTTAAAATTAACAAGTAAGAAGGCTCTAGTCGAGACTGCTCGACTAGGAGATACCCTGAACCCTCTAAGCTGATATTCTAATCATTCTGCACTTTTATGCACACACACATACACATGCATCCACACGCACGCATAAGCCTGCGCTCTGCTAACTGCGCAGTAAGCAGCGACTGCGCTTGGGCTGCGCTGCAGTGTGGGCAATATTATGAGAATTTATTTGTTGAATAATTTCTTTTGTAGACATACGATCTTAATAAAACTTTCAGAGCGTAATTATATGGTGAATACGTGTGTACATTCCAAAGCACAAGTACTTGAAATGCGTTTTTTACAAATTGGGGGCGAAGGGGGCGTGGTATCCAAAATCTGTAAATTGCAAAATCTTTATATCCATTAACTCTATATACAACCCAAATTTGAAGACTCCCGGTCTAAAAATGTTCAAATTAGGCTGAAAAAACAAAATCAATTTTTCGATTATTCTCGATAAAAAAGTTATCGGACGATTTATCAAGCAAACTCGTACTGCGTATGGTACTCACGAGTATGCATGCAAAATTTCAGCTCTCTAGCTCTTATAACTTCTGAGATCGACGCACTCATACGGACGGACGGACGGACGGGCGGACAGACGGACAGGGCTATATCGACTCAGCTCGTCACGATCAAGAATATATATAGTTTGTGGGGTCTGCCACGCCTCCTTCTGCCCGTTACATACTTTTTCACAAAACCATTATACCCTGATTTCCCATTTTCAATGGGTTCAGGGTATAAAAATAAATTCTATATGTATTGAATTCTGTCATCCGCCTGCCAATTGCAATCGCATTCTTAATCACAGCTTTACTAATATTTTTGCTAAGAGAAACTGTTTATTATTAATTTTATTTGAGTGGCTAAATGAAAGCTAATTAAAATCACTTTTGACTATCAATGTCAGTTTTGTTATCATTATTTCGATTAGTCGCTAATCTGCTCTCGTCGCGGTCGGTTGTGTCACGCACAAAGTACGCGAATTTATTTTCTACCTAAGCTAAAAAAGCCCTAACGGTAAAAGTAGACCTAACGGAAACCTTCGGACATATACTCGGCCACCTATACAATGAGAGCAGGTGTGCCACAAGGCAGTGTCCTAGGTCCACTGCTCTTTTCCATGTATATCTCGGATATACCAAGCCCCACCTCTCAGCATATGGATGATCCTGCCAAGGCTATTATTGCGACATATGCCGATGACATCGCAGTCATTTACAACTCAAAAAGTTGCGCAGAGGCCAGTGCAGGCCTACAAAGGTATCTCGAAACTCTTGCTGCATGGTGTAAACGTTGGAACCTAATCCGTTGAAAACCACAAACCCATGTTTCACCCTTAAAAAAGCAATGCAGATCCCTCCAATTCACCTAGAAGGCGTTGCCCTGGAGCACCCGTCACAAGTCAAATACCTTGGCATCATTTTGGACAAGCGCCTCACCTTTGGGCCACACCTCAAAGCTGCAGCAAAGAAATGTCGCCATAGACTGCAGCAATTGCGGTGGCTAAACAACAGGAAGAGCACATTGCCGCTAAGATGCAAACGAGCGGTATACGTCCATTGCATTTTGCCTATATGGCTTTATGGAGTGCAAATTTGGGGGATTGCTGCCAAATCCAACTACAAAAGAATCCAAGTACTGCAAAATAGAGTACTTGGACAGATTACAAACTGTCCCTGATATGTACGTGGATCCACACTACACAAAGATTTAAAGCTGCATACTGTCGAAGAGCAGATTGGCAGGCACACAAGCAGGTACAGTGAAAGACTGTTGAGCCACCGCAATCTACTCGCAAGAGGACGGTTACCTGTCAGACCTCTAAGAAGACTCAAACGGCAAGGCTTTGCCAAAACTATTGGACAATAGTAAAACCTCCACAACTTAAAATCCCCATAACTTGGTATGGGGTTCGGCTCTGTTATTAATTTACCTTCCCTGTGTTGTTATGGTTTCTTTTATGTACCGGTTCTACACTTAATAAATATATATATATAAAAATTAAAAAAAATTATTTCGATTAGAATTCATAAAAATTATGTGCCACTTATTAATCACAACGTTAGCTGCATGCTTTATCTACTGCGAAATTGAACTATAAGAATCACTTCCTAATGCCTTGCTCTTGCAATAATGTTTCCTTTAATGCACACACACACATTATTCTCCTATATCACCAAAATTTATTTAGCATCCGTTGAGTTCTCACTCCAGGGAGAATTCAACTGCTCCCACATTCTTCTTCCGCTTGCGCACAGCTTCATTATGGCACATCATCTAATCTAATTTTGGGGGCAGAAGCTAGCTTGTTCTTGGCCACATTTAGGCGCCTGCAAGATTTCCGACTGATTTTTATTAGCGTCAACGAGCGAAAAGCGCAATAATCGACACTCGGCACGCACCACAGGCCAAACTCAAGGAAGTTAAACAGTGAGAGGGAGCGAGCGAGGGAGGGAGGGGGAGTCCTTAAGACTGCCTTAAGCCATAGGAGTATGTGTGTTTCGGCTTAGCCAAAGAGGACGACATTACGTTTTATTATCTATTACTTCTGCTGCGCCTAAAATGCCGCTACATTAGCTCAAAAATCCGCATACACAAAACAGGATAGCAGCAGCCACAGGACACGCTGGCTGCCAAACGGAAGTCGCCAGCCGCAAAATGTAAACATTAAAACAGGAAACGGAAGTCGCTTCCACACACACACAAACAAACACAGACAGGCAGACATTTGCAATGTCTACGCTGGTTATGATTATTTCGACTCGCTGACTTCTGTGTGTGTTCGTGCCGAGTGTGTCCTGTGGCATTTATTATTTGTGTTTTGAATTTCATTTTTCACATATTTTCACATTTTCACTTTTTTCTACATTTTCACATTGTTTGCGCCATGCAACCCGGCGATTTCTTATGCACAAAGGTTTTTCTTTTTTTTCGAGCTGCATATGCAATGCAAATTAGCTGCTTAAATAACTAGAAATTTCACCATTTCATTTTGTTGTTAACACTGTTTGCCACGGCAACAGGGAAGCATTCTTTATGTTAATCCACAGTTGTTAAAGAATGTCCCGTTCGCCAGGATGTCAACAAAAAATTATTTACGTGCACTAGAATTCGTAAACGAGCTACGAATATTGTATGGACGCTGCCTTGGACGAAGAACCGCGCGCCTTGGTTGCCCAACGAGCACTGAAAAAGGACACGGCCGCCGCGTAGCATTCAACAGCGACAGTTGGGAAATTTCCCTTTAGCGATAGAAAGGACATTTCGCCGCTCACTGGAAGGCCAACAGCTGCAATTGACCTTAGCCTTCGTTTTGCCGGCTTGGTTCAATGCACCAGCCAACGGAGGGTTGCCCTCCCCGAATATCCCAGACAAAGGACTTTCCCACAGGGGTAGTTTCCAGCAGTTTCCAACCACAACCACTGAGCACTACAGGTTCTAACAGGTTGGCGTGTGACGTCATTATTAGAGAGGAGTTAAAGGGAAATTCTTCGTTACCCCATGCTGGAGAAAATGCCCAAAACAAACTGATGGAATTTGTTCTTTTCCTTCAACTTATATTTTTTATTGAAATTAAATTTACACTTATAAATCCCCGCCTATACGTTTAGATGGCGAAACACTGGATCAACCTTCGCAGGCAAAGTACCTTGGCATCACCCTTGACTAGCGTCTAACATTTGGTCCTCATCTTAAGGCAGCGGCTAGGAGATGTGGGCAACGCATGCAACAACTGCGATGGCTGGTCAACAGACGAAGCACAATGTCACTGAGAGCTAAGAGAGCAGTCTATGTCCATTGTGTAGCCCCGATTTGGCTCTACGGTGTGCAGATTTGGGGAATATGCGCAAAGTCCAACTATAAACGCATACAGGTCCTGCAAAATCGAGTATTGCGACAAATCACAAACTGCCCATGGTATCTGCGCGGCTCTACCCTACATCGAGATCTGAAACTGTATACAGTGGAGGAACAGATTGAGAGACACACCAGTAGATATAGTGACAGACTGGCTAGACACCGGAGTAGACTAGCGAGAAGATTGCTCCCTGCGAAGCCACTAAGGCGATTAAAACGCTTGGGTTTTGCCAAAAACATTAGATAAGTTTAGAGTTATGAAGGTTAGGCTCTATATAATATAATCTAACTGTGTTGTTAAGGTACTATACTTGCATTGTACAGACTCAACGCTTAAAATAAATATAAAAAAAAAAAAAAAAAAAACTTTATAAAGAATTTTAATTACTTTTGTTTTTTTTTTTTTTGCAGAGCAATTGAGACACTTAACTCATTTTCAATTCTATCTATTGAAAACACTTCATATTTTATATTAATATATGACCTACGGGGTTTTTTATAGTATTGTTTAAAAATGAACAAACAAATCAAAACGAATGGAATTTATACTAACTAATTTAATTTAAAGAAACAATGTTTATTCAAAATATCACGATTTGACTGTAAAAATGTGATTTAAAATGGAATAACACATGAAATATCAGAAAATGTCATGTGGATATGAAAAATAAGAAATTACTGCAATTGTTGCTTCCTTAAGCTCTGTGAATAGACCCAAAGAAGAAGAAGAACTGAAGATGGCAAAAGCGACTCAATAAACTTGAAAAGCAAAAGGAAACCAAAAGCCCATTTCACCACTTCACTTTTGTTTGAAAGCCCTTTGTGAAAGAAAACTCGTTTTGGCCATGCATCATGTTTGCCGTATTGATAAACCCACACGGAGGGCTGCAGGCTGGATGGATGGATGGTTGGACGGACGGACGGAAGGCTAGAGCTGCCCCGCCGCGACTATAAAACAATAGAGCCGCAATTTCCATGCGCTGCGACACATGCAACAAAATAAAATGTAAATGGCATAGAAAATGGTTAAAGCCATCGAGGGAATTTCGGCAATAACTATAAAATGTCGCGTGTATGCAGTCGACCAGGGAGCGCGAGCCATAATGGAAGGCGGGGGTGCGGAGTTGCTCGGCAAGGGTTGTCGCAGCCATTGGAAAAAGGATTAAAAAACGTGGCTACAAAAATACTACTATCTCAATGGAACAATCTCAGGCCAGGGCAAGGACAAAAACCTGGACTGAAAAACTGAAATTAAGGCACAGCACACACACGTATATCCACCTACACACTCACACAGATACCATCACTCACTCTCTCGGTGTCCCTCTCTCTGTCTATCGCTAAAAAGGCCTCCTCGACTGCGCTTGATAAAAACAAAGTGAAAATTTATGCAAAACAAAGATAGAAGAAAACGCAAAAAAATAGAAATTTTAGAAAAACAATACAAAAGACACGTGGATGAAGGGACAGATAGCGAGAGCCAGAGAATGGTAAGGAGGAGGTGAAAGGGAAAATAACTAAACAGACAGTTGGGACACTTTTCCCTAGATAATATTGTTTATAAATTCTTTGAGTTACCTTTTCCCAACACGCTTTTTACAATTAAAACAAAACTTGAAACTCAAAACTTGGCTGAGGCAAAGGTTAAAAAAAAAAAACAAACGGGAAAACAGTAAAAGCGCCGAAACGCGAACGCCCAACAGAGTTAACGATGTCTCCGAATAAAGAAATCTACTTTTATAAAAGGAAAAAAAAATTAAAGTGAAATTTAAATGCGCTATATTTGCTTTATTAAAACAAGTAAGAAGGCTCTAGTCGAGACTGCTCGACTAGGAGATACCCTGAACCCCCTAAGCTGATATTCTAATCATTCTGCACTTTTATGCACACACACATACATACACATGCATCCACACGCACGCATAAGCCAGCGCTCTGCTAACTGCGCAGTAAGCAGCGACTGCGATTGGGCTGCTCTGCAGTGTGGGCAATATTATGAGAATTTATTTGTTGAATAATTTCTTTTGTAAACATATGATCTTAATGAAACTTTCAGAGTGTAATCATATGATGAATATGTGTGTACATTCCAAAGCACAAGTCTCTAGTACTTGAAATGCGTTTTTTACAAATTGGGGAAGAAGGGGGCGTGGTATCCAAAATCTGTAAATTACAAAATCTTTGCATCGATTAACTTTATATACAACGCGAATTTGAAGACTCTAGGTCTAAAAATGTTCAAATTAGGCTAAAAAAACCAAATCAATTTTTCGATTATTCTCGATAAAAAAGTTATCGGACGATTTATCGAAAAAATAAAGCAAACTCGTACTGCGTATGGTATACACGAGTATGCATGCCAAATTTCAGCTCTCTAGCTCTTATAACTTCTGAGATCGACGCACTCATACGGACGGACGGACGGACGGACGGACGGACGGACAGACGGACAGGGCTATATCGACTCAGCTCGTCGCGCTGATCAAGAATATATATACTTTGTGGGGTCTGCCACGCCTCCTTCTGCCCGTTACATACTTTTTCACAAAACCATTATACCCTGATTTCCCATTTTCAATGGGTTCAGGGTATAAAAATTTGAAGAGCAAAAGCTAATTTATTTTCAATATTATTATATTCTTTATATTTATATAAATATACATTTATAATTAATTAAAAATTATGATTAAAGAAAATAAAACAAGTAAAGATTAAACTTAATTATGGAAAGGGAACTTACGGTATGCACTATCTATGTAATGTTTTATTTGATGTATAGTTTGAGGATTTTAGTTTTGTGTAATGTTCAATTTATGTGTATTTTCTTAGAAAATTAACATGCGTTCTCCGTGTTTCGTGGAATATACTAATCTGTAACTAATAAGCTGTTCCATGCTGAAAGCAACTAATTGGTTCTGATTGCACTTGTGTGTCTTGTCTTTCGTCCCCCTTTTCTTACATTTTTATACTCATTCACGAAAGTGACCACCCAAGATCACAAGCTATGACGGATATATATCCGCCCATTGGGGGCGTGGCAAAACGGATAAAACTGTATCTCCTAAAGTTGTAAGCCTAGAATGCTGAAAGCACGTAAGCTGACGTTTTGACTCTTTAAAGATGAGTGAAAAAATTTTATATCTACGCCTACTAGGGCGTAGTGATTTTTCGAATTCGGCTATATTTTAGGCACTATTGATGCTAGAGACCTGAAATATGCAAAAACTAGATTACCTGACAATTTGGAGATATTGCAACGAATTGGTTTGTTCTCAGTTGAAAATATTTTGAAAGCTAAAATATTACTCCTATTCTTGAATATTTTTGTATAGAAAGGCAGTACAATAGAGTTTCTCTAATAACATGGGAAAACATTGAAAGTACCAACACGTTTTGGGTAGAGGTAACCAACTACTGAGATTGTGCGGGGATCAAAAGATCCAAGACTTGCCAATGACCAGCACTTTGGTTAACCATCGACAGTTAGAAATTTCGATGGCTGAGACGGTCGATACTTGGCGTGCCATAATGAGTAATGACAGAAGAGGAAAAAGATCGGCAGAGCTGAGTTGACGTTGAAAGAGCTGAGTTTAGAATTGATGAATATGCAACAATATGCAAATCCATCCCGGATCGTGCAGCCGTCAGACAAACTACTGGAGGAATTAGCAGCGGCATTTTAAAGGAGATTATCCAAGGCCAAGGTGCGTCGCAGAATACACTTCAGCAGTATCTCGATGCATTCCAAGAATGGACACGAAAATGGAACGTGTACATCAATGCTTCCAAAGGCAGAAATGTTACGTTTTCAAATCGCCGACTTAGCTGCCCTGGAGTCACGTTAAATGGAATAACGCTGAATCACAAACCAGCACAAAAATATCTCGGGGTGATCCTGGACAGACGCCTTACATTCCAAAGGCATGTTACATCAGTGCAACACGCGTTCAAGGCCAAACTTGGTAAGCTATCATGGCTACTAACACCACGAAATAAGCTGTCGCTGGACAACAAAATAAAAATGTATAAAACAATATTAGCCCCTAGCTTGTTTTACGCTATTCAAATATATGGCAACGCAGCCAAATGTCATTTGAATAAACTGCGAGTATTACAAGCAAAAACTTTATGGAAGATCACTGGGGCTCCGTGGTACCTTAGAACAAGAAACATCGCACGCGACCTCAAAGTAACCAAAACCGGAGACAAAATACAGGAGATAGCAAAAAAATACACTGAAAGGCTAAATGCACACCCAAATAGCTTGGCCAGACGACTAGGCTCTGCAGTCAACCGCCGTAGAAATATAAGGAGAAGAC